TTGTTACAAGTCTAAAATTTATAATAAAAATACATGCGGGGAGCCGCCCGCTTCTTCAAAAAAAAAAAAAAAATTTCAAAAAATTTCAAATACTTATTAAATTTAAAACAAATATTTTTTTTAATGAAAAGACCTTTTAATTTATTTAAAATAAATAAAACATTAATATAAAAGATTCTTATTATTTTTTTTATTTAAAATATTATATGAAAATTAATATTTGAAGTAATTTTTGTTTAAAAAATAAAATATTAAAAAATTTTATATTAAAATACTTTATAATAATATTTTGAAGATAAAGAAATAGCTTGATAAATGCTTTTAATAGTAGCAAAACAATAATTTGAAACATACAAGACATCCTATTATAGGATTTTTAAAGAAATATATTTTGAATATTCTAGATTAATTATTATATAATTCAAATCTCAAACAGATAAAAAATCTATAAGCAATTGTAAAAATATATATATAAAGATTAACATATTAAAATATTGGAAAATTAGAACATTATGTAATTAAAAAGTCAAATAAAATTTCCAATCTAGTTTTGAATTATTTAATAGAATTAATAAAGCAACAATATGAAAAGGTAATAGAAAAAAATAGTGAATGTATCAATTATTGATTTATTACCAATAAGGTATCTAAATTAAATGTAGTAATGGTATATGATTTGTCATAATTATTTGTTAGTTGTAATATAATTGTAATTCTGATTTTTTTTACATCACCTGTATTTATTGTGGGATTTTTTTATTGTGCAGTGCATATTTTTGTTGACACTTATTTCTACGATACTTTTATATACAATTTATATATAATATTTACATTATATTTAATATACCTAATATATTTGCTATACTTGATATATACTTCAATATACTCGTGTAAAAACTCTTGGAACTAGAAAATTTCTTATGCTATTTGGAGAAATGATTACATATGGTGCAAATGAGATTTCAAAATTGACTAATGTACAAATTCAGAATATTATAGATCAAGTGAAATCAAAAACCGTTTCCCGGGGAACAATCAAGTTTTACCAGAAACCAAGGTAAGTATTACAATCACTCCTCTAGTTCGATAAGTGAAGCCAAATCTATACCAGAGGTTGAGATGTGTGAAGAGATTGATCGAGATTCTGATCCACTAGAAGTCAAGATACAAGAAAGTGCACTCGATAACTCGAGGGGTGGGGATGCTATCGCAAGATCCCTTCGATAAAAACGAAGATGACTCATGGAGTGAGGATCTAATTCATCTAAAGATGATGATGAGTTCTGTGGATTTTCTGACGACGATGATGAAGGATATCATTATAATTTAAATACCAATGAAACCTATACAAAATCTGATTGTTCAATCTGCGCATATTATAATTAAGATGCAATATAGGTGTGATGTAATCACGATAAACTTTTTTCATATTGTTGTGGGTAAAAATGTAGGTGCGGTAACGTAACACACCGTCGCGTCACGTAATTAGTGTGTTATGAGATC